TGATATAATTCTTTAAAATTTTAAGTTTAAAAGTTTTTTAAAGTTAAAAAAGATTTAGTATTTAATTTTAATTTTTGTTCAAATTGTTTAAATTTTTAATTTTTATAACAAAAACCCTTATTTTTATTAGAGAATTAAAAACATTTAAAATACTTTACTTATTTCTTTATTTATAAAAAAACTAAAACTAGATTTTTATTATAATAAAATATTTATGGTATAAACACGATTATTTAGAGAATCATTTTTTAATTATTTGAAGAAAATATACAATGGCTTTCAAAATAAAAAGGCAGTAAAAGATTCCCTCTAAAAATAAGTTTGAAAAATAAAATTTAATAAATTTTCATATGACAAAACATTTATCAGAAAGGCGGAAAGTATTAATTGAAGAAGATATTAAGTTTGGTTTAAATCAGACACAAATTTCTAATAAAAGAAATATATCTCGAAATACAGTCTAGAGGTATATTTTAAAGTTAAATGATGGTATTTTTTATGAGATAAAAAAGGGATCTGGTAGAAAAAAGCTACTTCAATCAAATCATAAAATATTTTTAAGTTAAAGAACATACCAAAGATCATTTTGTTACATTACGATTCTTACAAAAAAAATTATTAGATAAGTTTAAATTAAATGTCAGTCAATCAATCCTGTCTAGATTTTTTAAAAATAATGATTTTACTACAAATCATTTATTGAAGAAGCCATTATTAAGGGGTGTAAATATTGAAAAAGATTTTGATTATCTAAAAAATTTTTAGGTATTACTGATGATGAGCTAAAACGAATAATTTTTTAAGATGAATCGAAGTTCAACTTGATAAATAGTGATGGTGTAAGAATATTCGATATCTACCTAGAAAGAAGCATAAAACTTCAAACATTTTACCAACAGTAAAACATGGTGGAGGAAGTGTTATGGTATGGGGTGCAATCTCATACTATGGTGTTTCAGATTTAGTTTTCATTGAAGACAAAATGACTGGTGGAGAATACAAAACAATTGTAGTAAGACATTTGTTTAAATTTACAAGAAAACATCAGATAGATGATTTTATTTTTATACAGGATAATGATCCTAAACAACATCAAGTATTTTTGTAATTATCTTGATTAAATGGAAGTGAATTTGTTAGAATGGCCTCCACAAAGTCCTGATTTAAACCTAAAAGAGTATATTTGGGCTTACATAAAGAGAAAACTAGCAGTTTTTGGTAAATTAAACAAGAAAGAATATTAGAAAAATGGCATTTAATTGATGCAAATATGTTGCAAAATTATTTTAATAGTTATCATAAACGTGCTCTTGAATTTTACAAAGCAAAAGGTAAACATACTCATTATTAAATTTATTATGCTTTTTTATTTTGAAATATAATATTTACAAAATTTTTTATTCCTGGTTATTTATTATATTTTTAAATAAAAAAAATCGGTTTAAGTTTAAAAAAACATGTTAATTTACTATAAGCAATAAAATTTATATGTTTTTAATAGATTTTCTGCAGTTAGAAGAAAAAATAAAGTGTTTTTTATTTTGAAAGCCACTGTATATTGTTGTTAAAACCTGACTTAGGTAAATTTATTAATTTGTTAAAATATAATCAAAGTATATAATATTTAATAATCTAACCATTATTATTAATGAAGTGTTTTATAAATTAAAATTTTTAGATGCTAAAATCTTTAAAGCATAAATTTGTTTTAATATAATTTGAAAAGCAGAAGGTATATTTTTGAAAAGAACTCCTTCGATGGGGGCCAAAAATGACTGCTTCAATTTATTCAAATTTTTGGGTATTGGCCCCAATTAGGACCATATTATATTACTAAGTTATATATCTAATAAAAATAAAACAATCTTAATATTGAATAAGTTTTAAGATGAAAAAGCTTTTACATCTCTAAAGCATATTTTCTTTATTTTCCAATAAAAA